GTAGGATGGCAACCATTTTTTCCACACACAAGATCTGGGGTTTGTTGTTGCAATATTGCAGAATTCTTGTCACGTTTCTATGCACAGCAGAGATTCTAAAAGTTTTTAAAAATGTATCTTCTATAGCAGCCTCCCCAATCTACTGTCCCCATCTCTGTTGGATTACAGTTCCCATCATCACTGACTTGACCATTGGATATGTCAGCTGGAGATGAGAATGATAGTTCAGTGCATCTTGGAGAAAGTTTATTTATTTTTATTTATTTATATATCAAATTTGTCACCACCCATCTCATTGAAAGTTGATGAGAAATGAGAAACTTGTTTGTGTGGAAGAAGAAATCTCTGAAAGTTAAGGTTTCAGGAGACCCTTTTTTATAAGTAACAGCAAGTTATCATGGTGGTCGTCAGGTAGCGACAGCTCAGGTTTTCAGGTATAAATCTATTAAAAACCTCATTCCTGCCTATCTGAGCTGCTCACTAAAATCTGTTTGATTTGCATCCTATGACCTATTCCTCCAAGAAGTTCAGGGCTGTAGAAATTTCAGGGTAGTGACATGTAATTTAACTGAGAGATACTGACTGGCACAAGACTACCTGGTGAACTCTGTGGTCAAATTGGGGTTTATAGCTGTTTCCACTATGACACCGTATCTACAGTGCCACATTCGTTCTCAACCCTTTGTCACAGGTATGCCATTAATCTCCTAACTCTGTGTTTTTCTGCAAACCTCTCCTGATCACACGCCATATGGATGGTTGCCCTCGATGTCTGACCTTTTCCCTCCTGCTCTTGGCAGATCATTGATCCGAAGATGCCCCGGGAAGGGATGTTCCACCATGGTGTCCCCATTCCTGTGCCCCCCTTGGAGGTATTGAAGTTGGGAGAGCAAATGACTCAGGAAGCACGGGAGCATCTCTACCTGGTCCTCTTCTTCGACAATAAGCGCACCTGGTAAGGGCTGGAGCTCACACTTTTCTGGGCTCCAAAAGCTACAAGGAAGGGACAGAGCCAGATCAAGGCTTGGTGAATGAAGTTAGAGGAGCAGTGGGAACAGGGGATAGAATAATCCTCTTGCTTTAGGAACGAGTGGAACTCTGGTGACTTTTGCATATTCTATTTTTGCAGGCAGTGGCTGCCCCGCACCAAACTTGTGCCCTTGGGCGTAAACCAAGACCTGGACAAGGAGAAGATGCTGGAAGGGCGCAAGTCCAACATCCGCAAGTCTGTCCAGATTGCCTATCACCGTGCCATGCAGCACCGGAACAAGGTGCAAGGAGAGCAGAGCAGCGACTCCAGCGAGAGTGACTGACCCTCCGAGGGGCTCCCGCCCTGGGTGCTCACTCAGTGCAGCTGGACTGTACGGGAGAAGGGAGCAGGGAGCTCCAGCCTTGAGAAGCCTGGCTGCAGGAACATGCACAGAGCACCCAACAGCCCCTCCAGTGTGCTGGGCACACCTACAGAGCACTGTGCCCTCCCCATGGGCAAGCCTACCTCTTGCGCCAGCCTGCCCTTCCTTGTTCCATGCCTGGAATTGCCCTGACCAGCTGCATGAGCAATACCCAGCTGCCTGTATAGCTCCTAGGGGCAGTACCCTACTGTCTGGGTCCTAAGCTCTAGACCTTTGTAAGATACTGTATAATAGTGGGAGAATGTAAATTATTTGGGCTGCTCCATACACATACCCCCAACATACAGAGTCTGGCCCCGTTTCCCTGCATCATCGCGCCTGTCCAGATACATCAGCCTTCCCTCGGCCCAGCCCTACCGACACTCTGCAGAGCAGGGCCGCTGTCTTCTCACTTGCACATTTTGATACTATAGCTTTTTGGAATCTGACTCTGCCTGACCCCCCACCTTGTAGAAACCCGGCTCTTCTTTCTGCTGCAGCCGGTGGGTATTTGTACTTGTATTTATTTTGGAGAAAGAAGATCTCTATTGATTCTTAGAAAATAAAATGGCTCTTTTGGAACCAACTGGGCTCGTCTTTTTTCTGCTTGCAGAAAGGATAAGGGAATCTCTGGTTTGTTCTGTTTTCATGAGAAGATGTGCTGACTCTTTGTGGTCTGTTTTCTTGGCTTGAATTAATCACTTGCCTAACTGTCAAGCTACCTTTACTATCCTGTTATCAGGGTTAGTATCATCGCTACCTTTATTTATTGTTTGTTTAGCATTACCAGTATACACAAGATTTCATATCTAGAAGTGATGTTGATAATTTACTTCGTAGAAAAAATGGATAAGGAATTGTTTTAATTATTTCCTGTATTTTAATTTATTGCACTGAAACTGTACTTCTCCTCCAAAGGGTTCAGAGCCTCTACATATTATTCTCAAAGCTTTTCCTACCTAGGCAGATCACAAAATTAGACCTTGCGCATTTTAGCAGTAGAACTTGTTTTCAGGCAATTCATAAAGACACCTTTTTAGACCAATAACACAAAATATGTAGATGGTATTTCTTTAAAAAATAATAGCTTCTAATTAATTATTTTGGAGAGACTATTGTCAAATCTAATCATTTCATCCAATATTTAGATTTTGCACCTACTCTTCCTTCTATTGCAGTCACTTCATTTATTGTATTTCAAAAGAAAGTTTTAATTTCATTTTTTTTCTAAACAGCTTGTAAGCTTATCTATGGGGGCTTTTTTTAGAAGATGACCTACAGCGAGTTCTTCCTTCTTGAGACTAGGAAAAGTATACAAATATGAGGAGCCTGTGTGAGAATCATTTCACAGTTATAAATGAAAATGATGTCCTAGTATTGTGAAGGAACGAAGCTGGGATTGCTGTTTGTGTTTGAGAAAAGCAGCTGCAGCACGGCACAAACACTTCCCACCGCCAATTCACCAAGGCTAAGCTCATAATTTTTCTCCCAAAGGGCAGAAGTTTACAGCCCCAGAAACTTGAGAAGAGATGGGCCCATTCAGTCATTCATTCATTCCCCCACTCACAGTTTACTCACAAGCATCCACGCCAGCATTCCAGGTGTCTGGCTAATTGAACCACATCCTGGTGTTTTTAGGAACATGCCAGCGTCCATAGGCAGCCTCACCCCACCCAGGCCATTCGCCTACAAAAGTGTGGGTGTGCAGGAGAAAAGGTAGAGGATAAGGAGACGACAAGTAGATGTGACACCTGGGTACATAACAACTATTACAGGCAAGCAAGAGGGCTCTCAGTCAACTACCAGGACCACAAGCTATGGTAAGCAGTCCTTGTGCTGTGACTCCTGCCTGGAGGTTGGCTTACAGCTTGGTCTGGAGCTTTGTAGCAACCAGAAGAGGAGCAACCATGCTGAGGCAGCATCTAATCCCAACAAGTGCAAGAACTCTGGAGGAAGGCAAAGGTGGTACTGCATGCCACTTCACAAAATTTAAGACTTGTTATAGTAACCATCAAAGACTTATTTATGTGGCTACATCAACCTACAAAACCTAGGAGGGCGGAGTTAACCTGGGGCAACAGCCTATTATAAGGAAAGGTACGTGCTACAATAAAGCATCTTATACTGTTATCTTCTATGCTGTGGCATGACCAGTCTGAAAAACAAAGAACTCTTACAAGCTAAAAAACATTAAAAACAAACTTGTTTGAGGAAGAGCTCTGTGATACCGCACAACTTGCATACTATTTAATACTAAGAGCTGGCCTTTGAGATGGTTAACTATGGTACCCAAAGGTCAACTGAATATATTTTATACAAATTATGGTAATTTTTAAAAGCTCTGCTCTAGGAAGGAGGCACTGGCAAACCACTTCCGAAACACCTTGCCTTGAAAACTGCAAGGACTCGTCCAAGCAGTCACTGCAGAGTCGGTAACGACTGAGCGCAGATTAAAAAAAAAAAAATGAAATGTATCTTTTGATGATGATGATGATGATGATAGGGCAGAAAAGAATGGTTTTAAAATTAAATGTGCATTATATTCCCTATGATTTTACCATTTTGGGAAATTTTAAAAAATGCATTACTTGCATGTAGAATCTAGGATTCAAATGTTACGTGGCACAGAGTACACACTAACTTGTTATACTATCTCAGCTTCTGCTTCAGTGCCCAGCATATTTATTTGATGTGATTTTATTATTCTTAATGCGGATTTTGGCAGGTAACCAGCTAAAAGAAGTGGAATTCTAGTTTATTTACAATAATGCATATTATAAAGTGTTTGATTCAATAAACTCAGCACTTTGGCCTTCTGGCACTTTTCACAGAAAGGATTAGGGATCACCTTGAAGTGGCAGCAATAATTAAGTTTTCCCCTATGCCACAAGTGTTTTATCAATAGCGTGCATTTTGAAAATAAGCTTACATACCAGTGCATGTTAATAATTATGAAATAATATTCAAATATTTGTATCGTGCATGAAAATAATTATTTCAATGTATAAACTTGCCAAGGTGATTCTGAGCAGTGAAGAGAATTTAAAACAATATAAATAACTATAAACCCAGCACATAATCAAGAAAAAGAAAGAGAAAAAGAAAAAAGGATGAGATGAGATAAGATAAGATAAGGCAACCAAGAATAAAAGCCTCAGAATAACAACAGTCTCCCCCGGGCCTATCAAGATGTCCTAACAGGATGACTGAGAGGGTGCTTGCATTTTGCCATTTTTAAAAAATAATTAATTGCTGGAACTCCTGCTAGATATTTAAACCCATGGTTATACTGAACAGTATCCAGTTAAAAGAACATTGTGCTGCCATCTACTGATCATCCTGATTTCTGCAGCCCAGATAACGGTAGCTCCACTTCCATTCTCCACCGAAGGGGCCACTTCTTTCCCCCTCCGCTCTGCAACGCTGTCATTCCAGAAGACCTCGTTTAGCGCCCGCCCAGCCTTAACCCCGGACAGGAAGGACTCCTTCTGAGCAGAAGACCCGGGATTCCGCCCAAACAGACTACAAAGAGCGCCTCGTAGCCTAGAGCGGCAAGCGGTGGCTCCGCTCTACCCCTGCGCGGCCCCTCCTCTAAATTCAGTAGCCGTTCTCTATGGTGATTTTACGGGCTCGGAGGTACGGGTCTTGCGCAAAGCTGCTGCAGCAGCCGCTGCGGCCGGAGCGTAGCCATCCCCGCCTCCTCCAAAAGGGCCGCCACAACAGAAGGGACGACATGAACGCCCGGCCGACCCCGCTGCCTCGAGCGACTCCCTGGCGCTCCCTGCCTTGCCCGCGCACCGAACTCCGCCTCGACCTGGTACTCTGTGGCGGACAGACCTTCCGGTTAGTGCGCCCCCTGGCGGCTCCCAGCCAGGAATTGCAACCTTTTCAAAAGCATCCCCCTTGAATTGCCCCTGCCTGTCCGCGGCGCCCCTTCTCCCTTAACGCGAGCTCCGCGTCCCTTGGGCGGCTTCTCCTTGGTGCCTTTTTGCTTGCCCGTCTCTGGGTTTGCCGCCTTTCTGCCTCTTGGCGACGCCCCAGGGTAGTGCAACTCTTGGGTGCATGGAGGCTCGGTGATGAAGGAAGCTGCGCTTTGAATGCATGGAAACCCTGGCAGGCGCGCGCGCGCGCGAGGTTAAGTGGGGGAAAGAGGGAGGGAGTATGGGAAAACTCTCTTTGTAACGGTGCATGCGTTCTGCCTTGTGCAGCAATGCTCCTGCAGGCTCTTTCCACCATCCACAACCACCCTTCCTTTTTTTGTTCATCCCCACTTGTAAGAAGGATGGCTGTCGTTCCTTCTTTTTGCAAAGAGGTGATGGCACTCATTTGGGTTT